GAATCGAAGTAGGTTACGACAAAATCCTCGAATTGGACCGCAAGCTGCATCAAGCATATAACAACCTTCCCGAATTCTATCGGCTCGATACTGTTTCCAGGCGTCGTTTCGCACCCCTCTATCAGAGCCAGCCAATGATCGCATGGCAGAGGTGTCTTTTGCAGCAAGCTTATCATTCGCGTTTCTGTCGACTGCACCGTCTGTACTTTATCCGGGGAGCACGAGAGCCCGCGTATTCATATTCGCATGTAATCTGCCTTCAGTCTGCGCGGAAAGTGCTGGAGATCAAGAGAATCATGGATGAGGATGCACCAAGATTCATGCCGCCAATATCTGCTGTCTGGTCCGTTATGCATCATGTTTTCATGGCTGCAGTGATCCTTCTGATGGACGTCTGCTTCAACTGGGATGACCTTCTGGCTGATAAGAGGAAGCAAGAGGTACTTGATGCGTGTCGTATGCTCAGCAAGGCTCAACGAACCTCATCTTTGGTTAGCCAAGGTATCCAGGCCATGATGGACGTGCTGCAGAAGCATTGGAAAAGTGGCAAGCACTCCTCCACCGATGGACAGCCTTCGAATCTACCGTCATCTCCTGCCTTAGGTGCTACCGCTGTTGCAGAGCCAGCGCAACTGGTCTCTTATCAAGACTCGGAAACCCCGATCGATATGAAAGATTCGCCTGCAGACTCCTCTTTTCTCATTGATCAAAATGAGAATCAAGAGCGACCACTCGAAGATATATGGACGGAGATGCTTGACAGTGGCGGCGACTTGAATTTTGCAACACCAGACTGGACGGACTTGTTGACCGAATTGACAAATGCCACGCTGCCGTGTAGTTGATACAGCTACCATGGATGCAGGCATTCTTTAGACGCGAATCATCGGATACCGTACCTGATTCCCCTTTGGGCGATGATGTATCTATTACGATCATTTCGCCGCCATCGGCTCAACTCAGAAAATCGCAGGAAAGATAGTTCAACCATCCAAAGTTGTGAAAATAACAACAAGAAATCAGGACCAAGATTGAGAATGTCGCAAGATTCGAACAACCTCCCCATCACCAAACGCTACATCACCACCCACAGCACCGAGGGCGAGTCGGTGTTCATCTCCCACTCTCAAATCCCGGAATATATCCCCTCAAAGCCGATCAGCGACGATGGGAATATTGCTCTTCTCTACGCAACCGTATCGAATCCTGTTTCTGTGGACGACGAAACTGACGTCCAGGCTTACGATGAGTACCTCCACACCTCGCCCGGCCTGACGACTTCGCTTGGCACGGTACTACGAACGATCGACCTGCGTCCGGGAAAGACGAGTCCCATGCACCGAACGGTTAGCGTGGACTACGGGGTGGTTCTGGAGGGCGAGGTTGATTTAATCCTGGATTCTGGGCAGAGTCGGACATTGCGGCGTGGGGATGTGAGTATCCAGCGAGGAACGGCGCATTCGTATAGGAATCGGAGTGATACGGAGTGGTGTCGGATGTTATTTGTCTTCTTGCCAATGCAGAAATTGACTATTAAGGGTCGAGATCTGGACCAAGAAGTATATGACGAGCACTATGATCACGAGAGTGGGAGTGAGGATGAATCGCAAGCGGGAAATGGAACGCGAAAAGGCTCTTGAGGATGGCGTATATGATATACTTAGATTCGTTCACTGTTTATATACTCAAATCGACTGCACCATACATCAAGTACAATGATCCTATCCTACTCGACGCTGATATCCACCTTATCCTTGTCTGCCAGCGAAAATTGTCAACCAAAGCCTTTCAGTAGAAATGACGGGGTACAAGTGACTGACAGAAAGCAACATAATCCTTGATATTCTTCGCAGCGTCATAGGGCTGGGCGTAGTACCACGCCACATTTGGGACTGATTTATCTATATTGTTCCGGAGAGGTCATTTTCTGGCGTGTCAAAGACGATATAACGATGCAAAAGGTAATACCTCCAACAGTTACCGTGTAGTATGAAGCGTCTCCCTTCCAACCGCAATGAGTCGACAAGTCCGTTGGAGTGAAAAGCGACTTGTTTATAGCTGATGGTGGAAACTACAGGTTATCACAGATTAATACGCATTTTCGGCCAAGCTTCTACTATTTCTGTGTTTGATAATCAGAATTACCGTCAACGATACTTACATAGATATTGCCTTCGACTGTTTCCCAGTTGTCGGACTCGGCGAGGATGGTTCCATCGAGAGTTGCTCTGGCTCGAGGCATATTGATGATGGTTTCGGATAATTAGTGAGAAAGCCTAGAAAATTCAAGTAGAAGATATGAAGATGATGGACTGACCGTCAGCGTGATGAAAGTGACCTGTATTCTATAAGGAAGCATCAAGTGCGGGGAACCAACTGCAAGATGACAAATGACCAAATGATCACAAATCCGGTATAATAGGAATTCCACTTCAGATGCCCATGGAAGCCAGGGCTGCCTAAGGAGCTTAATAATTAGCTACTCTGCGCCAGCAATTATAAATTAACTTTAGATGAATGCTCTGGGCCTGATGCATAGGGAATTAATCATAGTCATATCAAAGTACTTCTTACACCCAGATGGCAAGCTGATTATCCTGTGTATCCAGCCTTCAATGTAGTGTAAGCAGCCTGAAATAGTAAAGTTACAAGAAATTGTACTTAGTTCGTATAGGAATATAATATTTAAGTAGGGCATAGTTCACAATCGGCAAGTAGCACCAACATCTAAACAGACCCACGCCAACATAGACTGGAAGCTTTTGTGGGAGAAAGGGTGATATTTGCCGATCAAGATCTCGCGATAGTAGGGAGAGCGTGACAGATGATGAGATTCCATATTGTTCACTGAATATAATTCTCTCTCTCATACTCTTCACATCCTCCCCTTGTCCGTAGCACCGTCAAGTGCGATAGTGGCTGTTATCTGATGAGCATGTCTGAAAGTTGGAACCATTAGTATGTCTTCGCCGTCAAAGCGGGGCATAATGGTACCGTGGGTTATCTTGCTTTGTCTCCTTAATTGAAGAACCCAGTCGCTTGTAGAGTAGATCAACCTGCTTCTGCGATTCCTCGAGTACAATGCTTTTATTGTTCATCAACATCTCGGGGACCATTGCACATGAAATAAACAATTCAGTGAGATTCTATGTATCGCAACGATAGCTTTTTAGTGATGGTTGAGCCTATAGAGGGCGTCTACAGCACTCTTTATTGGAGTTGCCCTTTTGACTTTGCTCCTGACAGCCCTTTCAACACTCAACCACGTCAGCTAGAGATGCCATGGACGAAGCCAAGGATTCCTCCGCGACGGCGTTCATTTGTATAGAACAGCATCTCTTGCATTAGGGAATATACCTCCCTCGCAGAGCCCTTGTGAGATCGAGCTGGATATCTGACTATTAAAACTGACGCACTGGGTATTTGTTTTTGACAATCTTTCTACGGATAACATAATAATGTCGGAGCGTAAAGACTTGCCGTGTTGCAAGATCTCGCATGATCTCGGGCCATCTCGCAATTGACCCATAGGGCAATGGCACGGCGCCAGCCAGCATCGCCGTTTTTCCATGACCTACTCACGGTAACTTGCCAAGTGAGAACAATATTTCAAGCTTGGATCTTCGGCACCTCAAGGTTGTTGTGTCGTTGGAAAATCACCTTCGTCCGATCGGCAACAATGATACCTCCCAATGCCTGGAACTCGCTAAAGCGAGCAAAAGAGGAGATACAACGTAAGGGCAAATCTGTTGACTACAAGTCCACCTGTGACTGCCAGGCAATTTTCTTCGAAACTCATTCGGTTACCCATGCATTGGCAGACATCTTTCTGATCACGCAAGACACTTTTTTGGCCGGCATAACCCATTTCGCTTTTGAAGAGATTACGGCCAGGAAAGATCTACCCCAGAATATCTCCCTTTACCGGGCCGTCGAACAGCACGATATCTCTGTGATTCATATCGAACCATCTTCCAGTCCTAGTCCTGAGGAACGGGAAATTTTCATATTTGAGAACATCCTAAATATTTTGCGAAGTGGCCATATTAGACAATTGACCGACATCATCTTTATCTCCATACTCAACAGGATCTCCTTGGTTAAGGTCTAGAGGAAGTTGCTGTCACTCGGGCGTCCAGATCAGAAAATACAAGCCAGGTAGTCAGACTCAGACTTCCCAGTCCAGAGTCCAGACGCTGATTTCCGCAAAGGGATGCGATCTGCGGTGGCTATCTGAGGTTTTACCACACAGTACCGAAAAGTCGACGAGTTTCAATAGTCTTAGTATATATTCATAAAATATAATACTGGGTATTGGAACAGGGGTCTTTAGATAAATTACAAAAATATTCTAGCAGATCTTGGCATTGGGGTTGGGAAACTGTGAAAGAGTACAAGAAGTGGTCACTATTTTTTGTAAACAAGTGTACGCATAACTTTCACTTTGGGTTATTGTGGTTTCATTTCAACTAGGCTACTAGTGACTACCACATTCATGTCATTTATTGAGTTCGTTTTTCTATCCTTTTACGCTGCCTGAGACGCAAGGAATAGTCCATAGGCTTGCAGCAGACTCTTGCCGTTTGGAAACATGGCCCTTCACTTCACTTTAAAAGGCATCAGATCATCTTCCAAAGTACCTATCCTTCCCATCCCCTCCGCATATTCCGAGTCACTCATTAAGATAATATAAAGCACCATGCCTCTTGCGAGAAGATCTACAAGGTCTGGGTGCTTGAACATCTGTTTCCTAAGCCTTATAGGCAGTGTCATATTCTACTATTATTTTTCTGCCTCATTTCCCCGGAACCGCAGAATAGCAATTGCATGCATGAATACATTTGAAACCTCCTACGATCATAAGTCTCTATCTAACAAATTCTGTCAGTATCTTGATGATGCCCTTTGATCTGCCAGTCCTAACACGGCACACAGCCTATGCTAGTAAACACAACTACCATTTGGAATTTGACTGGTTTGGGGATGGGTACTGGCACAAGATGAAAATGATCGAGAGACTTATAATACAGGATGAGTACGACTGGATATGGTGGATTGATTACGACACCCTCATCACAAACACAGAGATCAAGCTTGAGGACCTCATCGATGACTCGTTAGCAAGTGTATCTGACCCGGATAGGATCGATATGCTGTTGACTCCAGACTGGTTGGTCCATCTTTCGACTCCTGCTGCAGCAGCACCCAGAATTCTGACCTCTAACTCACTATAAAGCTTCAAATTGAACGCTGGCGCTATGCTGTTCCGCTCCACACCTCGTGCGCTGGCCTTTTTGTCCCGGACAGAAGCCTGCCGCTATGATCCCCTACCTGGTCTGGGCGAGCATCCTTCTGAGCAAGACTGCATGCTGCAGTTAATCGAGGAAAATCAGCACGGAGAGCAGGAGCAAGTACTATACATTCCTCAGTGGAAGATGAATGCCTTCCCAGAAGAGATACCTTGTTACGATCAGGACAAGAAAATGTGGGAACCAGGGATGTTTGTCGTACATTTCGCAGGGGCCTGGGCGCATATGCCGAATCGAACAGATGCAAAAGCAGATCTTTTCGAAAAGTACTACTCCTTGATTGACAGTCAACGAGTTCTCTCGGCTTAAACTTTGCTTCATAGCTAGCTTTTGGTATTCTGTTTGGGACAATCAGTTCAATATAGACGGAACTTCATGATATTCAGATGCTGTATGCTATAATTGCTTCTTTGAATACATTGTGCTCCGTTTCAGGGCTTACGCTGGAGACCTTGTTTCAAGCTTTTTGGAGTACCTAAATACAGTCTCCTTCTGCCGTATATGTTGTCGCGTATGGTTGTTTAAAGGCATAAGTGCAACTCTAAGAATTCGGCTCGACTACAGGTACCCCAAATACTTGCATTTTGTTTGACAGAACCCCTAATATAAAGGCCTCGGCCTCGCTTTTGCCTTCTGGTGGCATTTTGCCGAACCTATTGCGGTAAAAGACTGCTGAAGTTATTCCCAGGAGAAAGGTTGCATTCCCTTGGGATAACACAGCATGGACTGTCGATGTACACTTTTTACCTGTCTTCTTAGAAATCCAGTTTAGCAGCGAAAGAAAAGCCGGAATGTCCATAAAGCATTCCTGTATTAAAAATAACTTGTCAGGTGGATTCTGCCTTCGACCTAACATGATCATCCACCGGAGAAGGGAGGAAGAGGTTAGTTCTCGATTCTTCTCTAGGCTTTTTGAAGCCTATGTGCATAGCTCTATCAATATGAAGGCGATTGTGGTTGAATGAAATAACCGCACGCCATCATGCTCCCACGAGCTCTTAATCTGTGCTCAACTACTGCGTGGAGCTTGGCAACGTCTTACCAGATCCCCTATCTCTGTCGCGTAAAGTTCCATTTAAAGTAAACAAAGCAAGAACAAGCCGTGCGCATCCTTGGATGCAAGCTTGTGCCAAAAAAAAAAATTGTCCGCAGTGGCTGGATTTTTTGTAGAGTTAGAGGGTTGGAACGGCGGCATCAACTGTGATTACATCTTTACATGTGACAGTGTGCAAAGAAAACAACGTTCCGTAGATTGGATTTCCCTTCTCGTAGCTAGTGCGTCTTGAACTCAGCCCAAGGCGTTCTTTGATCATCATAACCGACCCCTTCGTTAGTCTACGGGGCCGCGCGTAGCGCGACCCCGCCATCTCAATGAAAAACGACATCTCAACGATAAAAGCTTCAAATGTCGTATCCCTACTAGAATTTCTATTATTTCTCAACCACCACCATGCCAGATGATTATTATGAGATAGAAGATCGAATTGAGAGAGCTCTGCGTGCATTACGGCATCAAGAAAATCCAAATATCTTAAAAGCTGCGCGAGAATTCAATGTCCCAATGCAAAGGCTTCGACGCCGCTGGCTTGGGACACCTTCACGTTGCGATAGGCCCCCAACAAATATGAAGCTCTCTGCAGAGCAGGAGACGGCTCTAAGGAGATATATTGACATACTTATTAAGTTAGATATTCCCCCGCGGCCAAAAGCAATCGGTAAAGCAGCAGATTCAATACTCTGTGACAGCCATACCGATCCAATGACTCCCCCCCCCTATATCAGCGAGAAATGGACGAAACGGTTCCTTGAACACTATCCAGAGTATTAAATATGGAGGCAGAGAGCTATCGAATTAGAGCGGAAGCAGGCGCATGACCCTATGGTCATTGAGATGTGGTTCCATAACCTGAAGGTGTTAATGGAATAGAATTGTATCCATCTACAAGACTTCTATAACTTCAATGAGACTGGCTTCCAGATTAGAATCGGTAAAGATCAATGGATAGTCACTAGGGAGTTTAAGAAGCCTTCTTTCTCTCCTAGTAACACTAATCGGGAGTATGCAACAGTCGTGGAAGCAATTAGTATAGATAGTCACTATATTCCACCTTTTATCATCTTCCCTGGCAAGTGCATCTTAGCAGGCTGGTTTAACGTCTGTAACAAGCCGGATTATACCATTGGGGTGTCAGATTCTGGATATATAAACGATCTCCTTGCCTTCCAATGGATTCAGCATTTTGAGCGTTATACACGGTGTCGAATGCTAGGCGTAAAATGCCTACTTCTCTGCGATGGCTATGGATCGCATATAACCTATGAGTTCATCAATTTCTGCGAGAAAAAGGGTATTATCTTATACTTCCTTCCTCCGCATACAAGCCATCTTCTCCAGCCACTAGATATTAGTGTATTCCATGCCTATAAGCACTGGCATAGTGAAGCTATTGAGGATGCTACCCAGACAGGGTGTGGGAAGTTTATAAAGATAGAATTCTTATCCGCGCTCTTTGAGATACAACGCAAGACTTTCAAACCGCGTACTTTAAAGCATGCTTTTGGGCTGACTGGGCTGAATCCATGGAACCCATCTGTCGCTCTTGAAAGACTACAGGATCCTAAGCTCTTCGCCAACAAATTGTCAAGCAATTCCTCCTTTTCGGTTACCAATACCCCTAAAACAGCGCGTTAAATTGATCGGTTTGAGCATTATATTCTTCAGCTTTCCCCTGCGGAGGGAGAATCATTCCATACAACCCTTGCTAAGCTAGCAAAGGCTGCTAAAATGCAGGCGATTCTAGTCGACCATCTTACGGAGCGGGTGAGGGAATCTGACGCTGCAAAACTAGCCTGTTAACGCTGTGCGCAGGCTTCTAGAGCTCATCTATGGACTGGTGGAATCATACGGAAGGAAGAGGCTAATTGTATGAAGCGAATTAAGCAAGATTATGATGAGCTGGTGGAGAAGAATTACTTACAGCCTAAGTGGAAGAAGGTGATGACAGAACTTCAAGAGCACTGCCTGGCAAAGGGAATAATTATTGGCAAGCAGAGGAAGATAAGAAATACAGAAGAAAGCTAGTAGATTTCATTTCTATGTGTTTTACTAGCAAATTCTAATTATAATGTTATTGATTTCTTCATGATGTTTTGATATTAAGAAATTTTATCGTTGAGATGTCGTTTTTCATTGAGATGGCGGGGTCGCGCTACGCGCGGCCCCGTAGACTAACGAAGGGGTCGGTTACCCGAAAATGAGAGCAAGGGGGACGCCATACTTCGTTTATTTAAACCTCTCTCGCAGCCTCTGTATCTGCTTTAGGATAAGTGGATGGAAGAACGCCCGCTCTGATAGCATTCCAATGTCTTAAAACTCCCAGGAATTATCTGCCAGGCCATTACCACCGATATTATTGGGGAACGCGTGAGCCCACCATTCCAATTAAGCTTCGCGCATGTATCCCTTACAGGTGCCCTTAAGTCCCAGTCTGTGCGAATGAGTCCAGTCTATGACCTGCGCGAAGCATAATCACTCTTTTTCAACTTCTAATTGTTTAAGGCATCATTCCACTTTGACCAGGGAGTTCTCGTGGAAACCCTGTTACTGGAATCCTGACTAGGACAGATTGGTAGAATTTGTCAAGCTAGGTACATCCTTACCAGGGGAAAAGGATTCCATGCCTGATTTGGAGAAAGATCGATAGGTAGACTTGAGACTGAATAGGATGATAGAGAAACTAAAAGGACCCTTTGGCTTCCTCATGGACTAAACACTTAGGATATATAAAGTCACACTACAAGCCTGTCAGGAGTAGAACGTGTTCCTGGATCCAGCCGATAACTCTTTGTTTATTCTATCATCTACATGATTTTGGAGCAAAGATGCGTGTCGCCCTCTTCACTATTGTGGTAGCTCTGAGCAGCTACGCTCTGGCATTTCCCGGTTCCTCGCCCCCTGACGACGGAGACTGTGATCTCGTTCGTTGCAACACTGAAGTATGTGGGAATCTTGAAATACTGCCCGCATGTAGAGATGCTAACTCAGTGAAGTGTCGTGACTCAGGAGCTGATTCAGGATACTGCAGCGACGACGGTCCATCTGACGACTGGCGTCGTGGTGTTGAGATAGTGGGACGATCCTCGCCGTAAGTGGCATACAGACCACACTCCTCATAGTGTTCGTTTCATCGAACTTGGCTAATCTTCATGAATTATTACTGCAAGTAAATGTATTTGTGTGCCTCCAAAGACTACAACTTCTTGCACCAAAACAACCACAGTCACGGCCACTAGAACTACGTCCACCTGCAGTACGACTGCCACTGTCACAACTACCGCATCTACTTGCACCTCGACTGCAACATCCACAGTTACATCGACGACTACCGCATCTACTTGCACTACAACGAGCACCTCTACCTCTATTACCACAACTACAGCAACTTCGACGACTACTACTACTGCCACAGCGTGCCCTACTTCGATCTGCTTCTGTTGTTCCAGCCCTGAACAGCCAGATAGCGGTGGACTCCAAGGGGTCTGCGACCCGGCGACATCTTCTCCTTGTACAACACCTGGCCGCACACACCGTTTCTGTTGCAACGGTGTGACTTGTGTTCCTTCTTAAGAAGATCCAAAGACGGGCTAGCAACGGCATGAGCACTGCTAAATGGGTAGTTTATTCTGTTGAACACTGGACCAGCACGGACTTAGGGTTTAGGGATAGGGTTTGGACAAGCAATCCTATTGGCGACAGACATGCCAATTGAAGAAGTTGATGCTTATTTGCTTTTCGGATTTCGGATAATTCGTTTTCTTAGATAGTTTTAATACTAACAAACACACATTCTCTTCTAAATTAATCCTATCAATTGACAGAATATTTTGTCACTACCGAAAGTATTAATCAGCAAGGATCCTCCCTAGTCACTTACGGGTATAATATATAGCAAAAGAGCGTCTATTTTTCATATTACTTTGACAGTCTAGCCTTGCTTCAATTTAGAGATCTGGTCTCCTCGATAAGACCCAAAACAGGCAGAACAAAACACAATTTAGCACTCACAGTGTCACTGACAATCTCTACTTTTCATACTCACACCTAACTTCATAGGATGATCACTCTTTCTTTCCCTTGCCAGGCGGGGGAGATGCGCTCGATCTGGGACTAAGCTCATAGTCCGAGTCGAAGTTGAATTTCTGGTCGTATGGCCAGTCTAAGCGCAGTTCTGGCTCGACGTCATCACCCCAGACCACTTCCTGACTGGCTTCTGGTCTCCAGTCTGCCAGGTCGAAGCCTTCCACCGTCTCGAGCTTTCTGTCGAGTTGTGAGGTGACATCGTTCAACCGCCCGATACAGAAGGGCTTGCGTGATCCTTCAAGAGGGTTACGACTTGAATTATGGTAGAATGTGCGATCATCTAACAGCAACCGTAATCCTTCCACAATCCTGGACGGCTTGGTCTCTTTGTTCGGAGGGGCTTCCATCAGCACTTGCATATGAATGCGTATGTGGCGATCGCATTCCGCATGGCAGATGGCTTTGCCATTCTTCTCGGCCTGTTTCAGGGGCGTGCTGAGCTTTGACTGTATCAAAGAACTCATATCGCGCATTAGTTCGTGGCGTATCGCCAGGAGATCGTCTATTCAGCTTGTTAGTCAACACGTCCAAGATGCTGACGGAAACAAAAAGATAGAAATGGACACTTACCGAACATGCTCTGGTCAATGAGCGTCCTAGACAAGTCAATATCCACTGCATTGCAATCGACGATGATGGACCGGGTTGACTTCTTGAATTGCTCTTTGAGGTTAAACACCCACATGATTCCCAGAAGGTAACCCGCAAGCTGTGTACTGTTGCATTGGTCAACAAACATCGTTACGTATTGGATCCAGGGGCGAGCCAGAGTACAAACAGCGGGGAACATGTCAAACATGTGCACATACTTGGCAACTTTGTGAAGCAGCTTCACATCAACTCATCTGGAATCCCTTGGAACTTCAAGTGCGCAGCCTTCATGACGATCAGCATGGCATCCGGGTCGAGCCTGTCAAAGGCCATCTCCCGCAGTCCATCTGGCCGGACGGGAAGGGTCTCTAGCCACCTCCCACTCAATCCCTTGAAGTAGATGGATTGGGATTTCAAGATGGTAGTCGAGACTCGCAACTCGACAGGCCGGCTTGCATGTTTCTTATAAAGCAGAATGAGATCGCCATCCGGAGCGATATCATGGCGCTCTGGCTTGACCTGGTCAACCTCCATAGCGTTCACCATGGGTTTGTAAGTTGCTAGGTGCGAAGTTCTGCTGAACAAGGAGAAGTAGGAAGAAGTTGCGATTGGGAAAGGTGGAATGGTTGATGAGTTCCATCTCTACGTTGCCTCCCATCTCCTTATATACCCTTCTATATAAAGAGCTTTTCTTATGTCTAAGACATCTCACCGGTCGTTATCGAATGTCTTGCGGGCTGTCCTTGCTTTGCAGACGATGACAAGGATTGATCAGAGACAGCAATGAATAAGTGCATATTGCAATCTGATGTCTTTGGAGAGTGTCTTATGCAGACAAGTCCCCTGAACTCTTTGTTAGTTGTTTTGGTCTTTCAAATCGGTTAAGACACCCCTTCATCGCCCCACTCGACCAGTGAAAGCAAAGAGTCTACATTATAGACAGTCGATGAATATAAAGCAGAATCGCCTGGCCATTGTTCTCTGTATGAGCCCTAAGGACTTCTTCCCCTTTGGGAAGCCTCGTTGTAATTTAGAGTACCATGATACCGCGTCGTTACATATCCCCACTGCGGAAATGTTCCCGCCTGACAATCTTGGCCCCGCCATGGAGGCCGCCTCTGCCTTTTTCTCTTTAAACCTTCTCTCCTTTCGCACTTCTCGATTTCTCAGAAAGAACTGGCTATAGATTCTCTGTGTATCAGAGATATATACTGACTTTGTGTCTGTCTATCAAATATTCAACCTCCCCATTCATTGGCCCTTATCCCGCCCTCAAACTTTGGACTTTGCTCGGAAGACTCGGAATTTCCTACTTGAACTTCTCTTGCAGCAGCGCAGATGGATCGCGAGCAATTCAGGGCCGCTGCGCATGCGGCGATCGACGAAAGTGTGTGGTCTGCATTATAATCTTCAAGCCTTTGCTAAAAGTCGCATTTAATAGTCATCGACTACTTCGACGGTCTCCCCTCCCAGCGCGTCGTTCCGACCATCGAACCAGGTTATCTTCGCCCATTGATTCCCGAGAACCCTCCGGAAGAACCAGAGCAATGGTCCCAAATCCAGGCAGATATTGAGACGAAAATCAAGCCGGGCCTGACCCACTGGCAATCTCCCAACTTCATGGCTTTCTTTCCGGCAGGTGTGACGTACCCCAGCATCCTGGGTGAGATGTACTCGGCCGCTTTCACCGCCCCCGCTTTCAACTGGCTCTGCTCCCCTGCATGTACAGAATTGGAGACGATTGTAATGGATTGGATGGCCAAGGCATTGGGTCTTCCCGAATGCTTTTTGAGCAGCTCGGAAAACAAGGGAGGTGGTGTCATTCAAGTCACTGCTAGTGATGCAGTCGCGACGGTGATGATCGCCGCTCGTGAGAGGAGGGTGCGCGAACAAGCGATAGCCGAGGGTCTCRAGGACGGAACCGTCGAGTACGAGGATCGAGTGATGGAGCTGAGAACGAGACTGGTGGCACTGGGTAGTAATCAGGCACATAGCAGCACCGCGAAAGGCGCACTGCTTGCTGGAACGAGGTATCGCAGCGTCACTGCGCGGCTAGAGGACAATATGGAAATGACTGGACCACGGCTACGAGAGGTACTCGAGCAGTGCGATAAGGATGGGCTCACCCCTTACTATATCACGCTTGGCATGGGTACGACCAACACTTGCGCGTTGGATCGCTTTGCGGAGATCAAGGCTGTGCTGAAGGAGAAGCCGCATTGGCAGCGAATCTGGGTACATATCGACGCTGCCTATGCCGGTGCTGCGCTTGTTGCCGATGAGTGGCAGTATATCGCCAAGGACTTTGCGGCGGGTGTTGACAGTTTCAACATGAACATGCATAAGTGGTTGCTTGTAAACTTTGACGCAAGGTACCATCAAGCAGCTCATTTGAATACGGGATTGCTAACATGAACAGCTGCCTATATGTACGCAACCGCTTTGACCTCACAGACGCCCTCGATATCACTCCAGCCTACTTGCGCAACCCCTACTCCGAGACAGGCCGGGTCATCGACTACCGCAACTGGTCCATTTCTCTTGGTCGGCGATTCCGCGCGCTGAAGATTTGGTTTGTCATGCGTAGCTATGGGCTCAGCGGCATGAAAGCCTACATTCGCAAGACCATTGGACTCGGTAACATCTTTGCCGACCTGGTGCGCAGCCGATCGAATCTATTCGAGATCATCACCAAACCTGCATTCTGCTTGACTGTCTTCCGAATCAAGAGCCCTCAACTTCAATCAAATAGCGAGTCCTCGGTGCCTCAGATCGACGACGCTTCAAACGCCATAACTAAGGAGGTATACGAGCTCGTCAATTCCCGGGGTGAGATCTTTATCACCTCGTCTGTCATCGCAGGTGTATACGCAATCAGGGTGGTAAGCGCCAACCCTGCAGCCGAGGAGAAGTACCTCCGACGCGCGTTTGAGATTCTGGTCGAAACAACCGAAGAGGTGCTCCAGAAGCAGCAGTAATGGCCTGACTTGGGCATTACCCACCGCAATCACGATCTGACGTCACCAGTAATGTACAACCTATAGATTATCATATATATACAGTGGATGTGTCTGTTCTTCCACAACGTTGGTTATCTTACATTAGAATGAATTCTACTCAATTACATTATCCTGACAATTTTCACTACTACAAAGACTAGTCTTAGTCTGCCTTAGATTCATTTCTTGTCGGAATCTCGGAATCTCGGAACAGCTCCGGGCTCAATACCGAGCGACTGCCGATTCCCCGCATTGATCATTCAAAGGGCGTGATGCGACAGATCCATCAGCATTCGGGGTAACGATAATACGTACGAATTAACACAAATACCATGTCTATGCAGTTGCCATCGTAAGAATACCTGATTTTGCGAAGCTCAACCCTAACTGGACATGTCGCTGATAAGCCCAGTCGAGTACTAGTGACGGGAGCCACTGGCTTCATTGGGGCCCATGTGGTGGACAGCCTGTTGGCTCGAGGCATTGACGTGCGCGGGGCCACACGGTCGTTATCCAAGGGGGAGCAGATGATAGCTGCTCGGCCGGAACATGCCTCCAAGCTTGAGTTTGTTCAAATCGAGGACTTTTCCAAAGTGGGGGTGTTTGACCATGTCATGGAAGGGATTGACGCGGTCATCCACGTTGCCAGTGTATGTCTACCATCATGCCAATCTACACAAGACTATTAACCAATCGCTAGCCATTTACCTATGATACCACAGACAACGAGCAGGAGCTCCTTGTCCCTGCCATCAATGGCGTCAAATCAATCCTCGCCGCTTCCGCCAAGCCAGGAAGCACAGTCAAACGAGTGGTATTGACATCCTCATTCGCCTCCGTCATTGACATTTCCAAGAATCGAGGCCCAGAGTTTACCTACACTGGCGCCCACTGGAACCCAATCACTTACGAAGAAAGCGTCCACCCTGCCACTAGCGCCGTAGTAGCATACCGAGGCTCCAAGAAGTTTGCTGAGCTCGAGGCCTGGAACTTCATCGAAAGAGAGAAGCCCTCTTTCGATCTCGTCACTCTCTGTCCTCCGATGGTGTTCGGCCCGATCGTGCATCCCGTGGCTAGCATTGCGCAGCTGAATGAATCCAACGCTGTTTTGTGGAGCGTCGCGGCGGGCGCTGATCCGCTGCCTGCTGCGAGGGTCTCTGCCTGGATCGATGTGAGAGATCTCGCCGAGGCGCACGTTCAGGCATTATTGACACCGGAGGCCGGCGGGAAGAGATACGTCCCTGCGTCCGGGGAGCCGTTTTGCTACGAATATGCGGCCGATATCATCAAGGAGAAGTTCGAGTGGGCGCGGGGAACAGTGACTGCGAACTACGAGGCTGGGAAGAGGCCCGGGCCGACATACAAGCTGGATGGAGAGACGGTGACTAGAGAGCTGGGAGTGAAATACCGCAGCTTTGAGCAGACGGTCGAAGAGCTCGTTAGACAGGTCAAGGAGACACTCGCATAGTAGCAGTCTTTCTCAAGCAGAAATAGGAGACTTCCAATTCTGCGCTCAACTATCTGCAATCGCATCAACCTCCACTTCTACCATCATATCCCCGTTCACAAACCCATTCTGTACCACGATCATTGTCGCTACAGCACCAATCCCATTGCCCTGCTGCTTCCCCAGCACCTCCCGAAACCCCTCACCAACAGCCATGCAATCCTCTGAGCGCGCAACGAACATCTTGACGCGCACAATGCTGCTTGCTCCCGCGCCCCCGAGCGATTCGACCGCCTTGACACTCTCCCTCAACGCGACGATGGTCTGCTGCTTTGCGTCGCCGGGGAATAAGATCCGGGGAGCGGAGGCGGGGGATTGAGGGTCTACGGCTGTGGTTCCAGCAACGAAAATCTGGTTGCCGCGGCGGACGGCGCGGTAGTAGCCGATTATGTCTTCATAGGGGGACGATGTTGCGTAGAATTGTTTGTTGCCGTCGGGAGAAGTGGTCACGGTGGAGGACATGGTGGATATGGTTGATTTTGTGAATAATGAATGCAGACGATTATGAACTGAACATGGATTTTTCTAAATGGTGTTTATATATGTTGTGGGAGCCGTGTTCGTGTTCGTTTTCCTGAAGTAAATGAGTCATAGGAAGCCGTATTCGACGTCTCGCAAGCTTTGTGGCTTCGGAGCACGCCAGAATGATTGGCCGCATTCTGCATTAATTCGAAAATATGTCAATTTATACAACATGGTATGCGAACAGCTATAGTACATCAGGTATCAACAATAACAACACAATAACCCTAATATCAGTTCGCCTCTCCCAAAAACCACTCAAACACACTCCGAAACACCTCCTTCCCGCCTTCCTCAATAACATCCCCATGACACGGAATAACACGCTCAAAATCCCAACCATAGATCCTCCTCACCGACTCCGCAAACGACGCTCTATCCTGCTTCGACAAAACATACCACGCAAACCGCCGGTGCCACGTCGGCGGCCTCGCCCTCGCCTCCAACAACGGCATAAACACCCGATTCAGCAGGCCAGCCGTCGGCGACTCCTCCGAGCGCGCATACTGCTCCGTACA